AAAAAAAAAAAAAAAAAAGAGAGAGAGAGAGAAAGGGAACTTCATTATTGTTCACTTTGGAGGACAGGGATTGTAGAAGAGGGAAGAGGCAAAGTGAATCCCAGGTTGAATCCTTTTTCAAGGTGCTTACCTTTTGCTGTACACATGGGCTTTCGGGACAAGTGCTGCCCCCAGCACCATGACTGCTGTCTGCTTGGGCTCCAGAGAAGGGTGGGTGGAGGCTGGAAGAATGGGGAGAAAAGCCTGGAGGATGGCCATCGTGTGCTCCTGAGTTCTGTAAAGGAAGAAGTGACAAATTACATGGCCAGCACCAGCTTGCTTGAGTGTGACCTTGGCTGACAATTCTGGTTCCTGCCCTGTGTCCCCTGGTGTCATCTTTATAAACTTTCCTAAATTCCATTACCAGATGAACTTGCCTAAAATCTGGCTTTTAAGACGTCACCTACCGCTCAAAAACGTCCAGTGGCTTCAGGTATCCCTGGCATGGGATTTCCACTTTCAACCTGGATGGGTGTTCAAGACTCTACAGTTTGGTGCTATTTACTTCTGCAAGCTTAAGTTCTACGATTCCCACTACAATTCCCATTCCCTCCATCAGCATGCCCTGTACATTCCATCTCCCTGCCTTGTCCCTTTCCTGGCCCTCTACTTTTAAACATGATACTTCCTGCCAAGTCCAACCCCTTCACAAAACCTTCCTGGACCTGTCTAGCCCTTTATAATCAATCCATCCCTCCCTCTTATCAGTATTTAATGTTTTAAGCATAGATCAGGTACATTAACCTATTTTGTTCTTTATCTTTTTTTTTTTTTTTTTTTTTGAGACGGAGTCTTGCTGTGTCACCCAGGCTGGAGTGCAAAGGTGTGATCTTGGCTCACTGCAACCTCCGCCTCTGGGGTTCAAGCTATTCTCCTGCCTCAGCCTCCAGAGTAGCTGAGATTACAGGTGCACATCACCATGCTTGGTGAATTTTTGTATTTTTAGTATTTTAGAAATTTTGTATTTTAGAGACAGGGTTTCACTATGTTGGCCAGGCTGGTCTTGAACTCCTGATCTTGTGATCTGCCTGCCTTGGCCTCCCAAAGTGCTGGGATTACAGGTGTGAGCCACCACACCCAGCCTGTTCTTTATTATTTTATCATGATATTGCTAATGTCTTCAAAGAGTCTTTGTGAGCCATAAATCACTGTACAATGTTAGCAGCAATATCATCAGTACTGAAAGTTTTGGTCCAGAAGTATGTCTCAAGAGCTATTTTTACCTTTGTTTCCCTGAATACTTTACATGCAATAAACATTTGTTAATTATGACAATAATTTATTTAAGTCCTAATTTCTCCCAGAGTGCCCCTCAGGGGTAGGCATCGTTCATTGGAATGCAGTGTTCCTATAAGTTTGTAAAAATTAATTCTCATTACCTTTTGCCATACTTCACACTCTTGGGGTGGAGATATTCCACAAGAATAGGATGTGTACTTAGAATTAACAAATTTCGGGTTCATGTGATCCTGGGTAACTGATTTAAGCTCTCTGAGCCTCATTTTCCTCAATGGCAAATAAAGAATAATACACTGGAGCTCACAGGTTCCTTGTGACAGTAACTGAGGCTACTCATAGACATGCCTCTTAATGCTTGGCCCTTAGAAGGTATTCATATTCAATTAATGTGAGTTTTCTTCCTATTCCCTTTCTAATAATGTTGATTGCAGAAGCTTTTGATAACGTAACCTTTCTCAACTCGAAAGATAGTTTCTCAACTTGAGAAAGGTTATGTTACATGGACTTTCCTAGTGATTATTTAGCTCACGAGCATAAGCAAAGTCTTTGTCAATCACCTTTGCCTAGTCTTTGAATTAGTGAGTCTTCTAAGCCATCTCCTATGACTGTTCCCATTCTGCTCCAGCCACTGGTCCTTGAACAGTCTCTATAAGTTCCAACCACAGGGTCTTTGCATGTGCTATTTCTCCTTTGTCTTCAATGCCTTCACCTCAAATATCCACAATTTTTCTTTTTTTACTGCTTTCAAGGTTTTGCTAAAATTCCCTGGCCCTTCTATTTAGAGTTGCAAACTTCCAAACTACACACACATACACACACACACACACACACACACACCGCTTTGTTTTTTCTCCATAAGATGTATCACCTAATATAGTATGTATGTAATTTACTTTGAAATTGTTTAATTTACTTTTAAACTGTCTCTGTTCCCACAAGAATAGACATTTTTCTTTGGCTAGTTCAGCACTAATTCCCAGAGATGAGAACAGGACCTGGCACACAGTAGGTACTCACTAAATGTTTTCCCTGTGCAGACTATTGCATGAAAGTAAGGTCTGATGACTTTCCCTTTAAACCTTTGAGGCATTGGTTTGACCTATGATAAGGTTTGACCCCAGAGCATCCTGAGAGCAGTGGTCAGAAAGCTGCAGCCCACAAGCCAAGTCTTGCTCACTGCCTATTTTTTAAATAAAGTTTTATTGGAACATAGCCACGTGCATTTGTTTACACAATGTCTATGGCTGTGTTTGTGATAACAAAGGCAAAACTGAGTAGGTATGACACAGACAGTGTAACCTGCAAAGCAAAAGCATATTTATCATCTGGTCCTTTACAGAGCAAGTTTGCCAGCCCCTGACTTAGAGGATAAGTGAGTTTGGTCTACCATGAAGACTCGAGGATTGTAGTCTCTGGGAGATATTGCTAGGCTTTTGGTAAAACCTTCACATTGAAAGTTCTGACATTAGGCTGGGTGCGGTGGCTCACACCTGTAATCCCAGCACTTTGAGAGGCTGAGGAGGGTGGATCACGAGGTCAGGAGATCGAGACCATTCTGGCCAACATGGTGAAACCCTGTCTGTACTAAAAAACTAGCTGGGCATGATGGCATGTGCCTGTAGTCCCAGCTACTCGGGAGGCTGAGGCAGGGGAATCACTTGAACCCAGGAGTTGGAAATTGCAGTGAGCCGAGATGGTGCCACTGCACTGCAGCCTGGACGACAGAGCAAGACTCCTTCTCAAATAATAATAATAATAATAAAATAAAAAATAAAGTTTCTGACATTAGCTCTTTAGCAGTTGAAAATTTGTATCCCACTTCCAGAAAGAGGCATGCACCAGGCATGGTACAAGGTATTCTTACCTGTGCAGTGCACACCTGGCTGCTGATGGGCGAGGATACCCTGTGCCCTTCTCCCTGGGTCCCAGAAGATGAGGGCAGAAAGTGAGGGTTGTTGGGTGATGGGGGCAAACTGATATGCTGTGGGCTTTTCACAGCCCCAAGCGGCGAATGCTGAGGGGAGCACTGCGGGCTAAGAAATGTGGAAGACAGTACGTTGGTTTGACCTGAGGACTCCACACAATGAGCATTTCCAAGGGGCTGGAGTTGAACAGCTTCACAAGCCGGCGGGTGACACTCTGAGCTGCTGCTTTGTCTTTTCACAGGTACTTGGGATGCAAAAGGACAGCTGGAGATGGTCTCTTCCTGCTTGATGGAGGCAGCCAAGAAAGGCAGTGGCTTCTTCTCTGCACAATTATTCCTTTTCTGCTTCTGAAGCTGCATCCTCAGCTCCTCCACCTGCCTCTGCTCTTGCTGGAGTTTCCAGGTGAGCTCATTGATTACTTTCTGCTTCTCCACCAGCATCTTGTCCTTCTCAGAGTCCAGCCCATCCAGCTCGGAAGGAACAGAACCCCCGTTCAGGCTGCTCATGAGACTTTCCTCCGTGCACACATGGACTGGGGACGGGTGCAGGCCAAAGGAGGGGGAGGCATCATTGAAGGTGTCTGGCAGGGACCCAGCGACCGACAGGTCAGAGGAGGCTGGGGAGATCGGGGGACTGGAGCTGGTGCTGCCAAAGTGGTAGAAGCCGTTGGATAAGGCACCAGTGGAGGAAGACTGGTAATTGGGCAGCGTGTTGGGTGTGACAGGAAAAGTGACAGTCGTGATATCCCCAAAGTTCGGCACGGGGTTGCCAGAGCAGTCCTGGAAGGGTCGAAGCCGGTCCATGAGAGCCGTTTTGGTGCCTGACACAGGCAGGCCCCGAATTCGAAGCTGTTGTCTTAATTCAGAGACCTAAAGAAATCAGAATGTGGTGAGTGTGCTGTTTAACGACAGTATTTTAAAAAGTGTATTTATTATAAAATTAGCTTCGGCCAGGGGTGGTGTCTCACGCCTGTAACCCCAGCACTTTGGGAGGCTGAGGCAGGCAGGTCACAGGTCAGAAGTTCATGACCAGCCTGACCAACATGGTGAAATCCTGTCTCTACTAAACACACAAAAATTAGCTGGGCGTGATTGTGGGCACCTGTCATTCCAGCTACTTGTGACGCTGAGGCAGGAGAATCACTTGAACCAGGAGGCGGAGACTGCAGTGAGCCGATCCTGCCATTGCCCTCTAGCCTGGGAGACACAGAGAGATGCCATCTCAAAAAAAAAAAAAAAAAAAACCCAAACCAAAACAAACCCCACTAGTTTCAAAACATCACAAATGGAATTTTACAATATCCCCCTCTTTTATACTTCTTTCCAATTTCCTCTCCTACCCTTGATATAAATCAGTTTTGCACAGTTTTAACAATTATTTTTAACTTTATCCTGTATGATATTTGCATGGCCTTAGAGTCATGGAAATGTAGAGTTTGAAGGAATGGTAGAAGTCAGCTAATCTACTGCCTGTCATCCCTGATGGTGACCTGTGTCCCCATTTTATAGATGAGAAGACATATCTGCCTGGGTTTAGACACAAGCCCCCCAAAGTAGTCTTTTTTTTTTTTTTGAGATGGAGTCTTGCTCTTCACCAGGCTGTAGTACAGTGGCGTGATCTCGGCTCACTGCAATCTCTGCCTCACAGGTTCAAGCAATTAATCCTCCTGCCTCAGCATCCCGAGCAGCTGGGACTACAGGAGCCCACCACCACGCCCAGCTAATTTTTTGTATTTTAGTAGAAACAGGATTTCACCATATTGGCCAGGATGGTCTCAATCTCCTGACCTCGTGATCTGCTTACGGTACAGCAAAGTCTGAAGCTTTTCAGGCTTCCTTGGTGAGGGCTCTTCCTACCACATTCTCTTCCTCAGACCTGAGCATGCCTGGACCACTGGAGGGTGTGTTACAATGCAGACACAGGGCCCCACTGTGGGGTTTCTGATTCAGTTGATTAGCATTTTTAACAAGTCCCCAGGGGGTGCCATATGAATATTTATGAAGAACCAGGGCTCCATATGAATATTTATGTCCTAATTTTAATGACCATCTGGATAATTGTCATATACTGAGAGAGTATGTGGAGATAAAATTATCAGTTCAAATCCTGGCCCTGCCTGTTACTAACTCAGTGATCAATCACTCCGTGCCTCAGTTTCCGTTCTGGGAAATAGGGGCAATAATACCTACTTTATGCCTTTTTGTGAGGGTTAAAATGGCTTAAAATGTATAAAGCACTTGGAATAGTGCCTGGCAAATAGTTGTATAATATAAAGGTTTACTCATATTATTATGTTGATTCACATGTAATTATCTTATCCCTGTATTTTTTTATAATGTTCATAAACTGGAAACTAAATATCTACAAATACAAGAACTGGTTAGGTAAATGATAGTGTATGCAAATGATGGGATTCTACAGATCCATTAAAGCTGATGCTATAAATATCTGCTGACACTGGATGATTAATTGCTTGTGGTATAGTAATAAGTGAACAAAGTTTGAATTGATTCTATTTTTCTAAAAACCATTTAAACCATGTGTGCATATATACATATATATTTAAACCTATGTTTGCATATGAAAATATCTAGATAAAAATATGCTAAAAGGTTAAAAATCATTCTCCTCATCTGTATGTTCTAAATATTTTACATAAATATGTTACTTTTGTAATGAAAACAATATATTAAATACTTAAATTTCAATAATCTCATAAAACAGGATATAGGGAAATATTCTGATACTCTGTAAAAAAGATTGTTTAAGAAAAGTATTGAAAACAAAATTTAAAACTTCTGTAAGTCAAGAAACTACAAAGAAAATGCAAATACACATAGCTATCTTTGGAAAAACTAATTGCAGCACAAATAATAAAGTATTAAAAAGCTCAATGTATCAAGTGTGTTAATCGATTAAAAGGAAGATTGATACCCAGTATAAATATGGGCAAGGGATATATGACCCAGCTTTTCAGAAACAAAAACAAAATTTTAAATATGGACAGTAATGTATGTGTATCATCATTAGCAATTCAAGCAATGCAAATCAAATGAATACATATATGTATAAATGAATACATATATATTTGTATTTATTAAATTGACAAATGAATAAGAAGACTGTGTTAGGGAGCATCAGAAATCAAACAAAATTAATTTTTTTTGAGGCAGAGTCTTGCTCTGTTGTCCAGACTGGAGTGCAGTGACACCATCTTGGCTCACTGCAACCTCCGCCTCCCGGGTTCAAGCAATTCTCCCGCTTCAGCCTCCCGAGTAGCTAGGATTACAGGCGTGCACCACCACGCTGGGCTAATTTTTGTATTTTTAGTAGAAATGGGGTTTCACCATGTTGGCCAGGCTGGTCTGGAACTCGTAACCTTAGGTGAACCACCCGCCTTGACCTCTCAAAGTGTTGGATTACAGGTGTGAGCCACTGCGCCCAGCCCAAAATTAAAACGTTTTTGAAAAGCTCTTTATTACCTTGCTATTCAAAGTATGGTTCTTAGACCAGCAGCATCAGCATCACCTGGAATCTAGTTGGAAAGGCAGAATCTCAGGCCCCTCCCCAGACGTGAATCAGAATCTGCAGGCTAACAAGAGCCCAGGTGATTCAGCTCACACGTTAATGTTTGAGAAGTGTTGCTTTCACATGCTGCTTCTGGGAACAGACTGGCATAAATGTTCAGGACACAAATTTTAGAATATGTATCAAAAATTTAAACAATATTAATATATTTAATTCGGGAATTTCATTTTTACATAGTCCGAGGAAATAATCAGAGAAACTAATAATTGTATGCACAAAGGTCACTGAAATCATATATATATGTATATATATATATATTTTTTGAGACAGAGTCTTGCTCTGTCGCCCAGGCTGGGGTGCAGTGGTGTGATCTTGGCTCACTGCAACCTCCACCTCCCAGGTTCAAGCAATTCCCCTGCCTCAGCCTTGCTAGTAGCTGGGATTACAGGTGTATACCACCATGCTCCACTAATTTCTTGTATTTTTAGTAGAGATGGGGTTTCACTATGTTGGCCATGATGGTTTTGAACTCCTGACCTCAAGTGATCCACCCACCTCAGCCTCCCAAAGTGCTAGGATTACAGGTGTGAGCCACCACACCCGGCCTGCAATCATATTTTGAATAGCAAAACTCTGGCAGCTAGTTAAATATACGGCAGTGGAATGTTAACTAGGTGGTGAAGAAATAAAAATGCATTGAGTATTAACAGTTACGAAAAATGTTCAGGATGTGTTAAGAAATGAAGGATTGGCCGGGCACGGTGGCTCAAGCCTGTAATCCCAGCACTTTGGGAGGCCGAGGCGGGTGGATCACGAGGTCAAGAGATCGAGACCACCCTGGTCAACATGGTGAAACCCCGTCTCTACTAAGAATACAAAACATTAGCTGGGCATGGTGGCGCATGCCTGTGATCCCAGCTACTCAGGAGGCTGAGGCAGAATTGCC